CCCCGCCCCGGCGCCTCCACCACGGATCCATTAAAACTTGAGACAGGTGGTGGCCGTGGCCGCGGGCAGCGCACGCTAGTGGTCACTCAGAGGGGCCCTCTGGCAGCAGCGTCGAGCCAGGAGTGCGACAGAGGCGGCGGTGAAGAGAGCGAGGGCGACAGCGAGGGGATGTCCCCCCCCCCCCTCTCTCTCTCTCTCTCTCCCTCTATCACCGTCTCACCCTGGACGCACACTGTTCCACGTGATCAGGGGACGCGGAAGCAATCAAATGAAAATAATCAAAGTTTCAATTTATGCTCAAAGGGATGGGGCAGGAGGGCAGGCAGGGGTCTGGCAATAAGAAAAGAAGGGATGATGACAAAGTGGACAGAGAATAGGAATGAATGTATGCGAAAGAGGGGGCTGGAGACAAAGAGAGACAGACATAGAGCGCTAGCGACAGAGAGACGGACAGAGACGGCTACAGACAGACCGAGGGGAACACACGGCTGGTGCGAGCGAGAGGGGAGAGATCAATACGCGCTTGGGGGTGGGTGCGGGCGGGATGCAGCGCGCGGTGCGTGAGAGAGACAGAGAGTGAGAGCGACATGACACGCATGGCCCACGGTAACGCTGGCTTGTTCCTCTCTTCTCTTTCTTCCATTCCTTCTTTCTATCTGCTTCCGTTTTATCTGCGAACACCATAAAACTAAAAAGGGAACGACTCCAAAAAGAGTCCATAATTTTATTGTATTCTTATCTTAGATCAGGAAAAAGATGAGAGGAGAATGTTCCTGCTCATTTATTAGCGAAGAGAGCCCTACACGAAGAATACAAAAGAGGAAATATTAGGAAACAATTGGCTTAAATGATAACTACTACCACGACCATTTTTGAGATGGCCAAGGTGTGGGTCTATGTTCAGGTCAGCGGGACAAGAAATCTAATCTTACAGCTTGTAAACTATTAGTTGTAGGTGAATGTTCTTTTCCTTGTAAGGTTGCAGGTACTTGCGTTCAAGAGACGCCACTTCTTGTCGGAAATTAACAATCGGCTGAACAGTTATTCTCTCCTGAAGAGCAAGTGTTAAGTAACTCAGATCTGTAAACCAAGATGTATAATAAATATAATGAAAGTTAAGGGAGAGGTATAAACATTTCGTTTTTCGCAGGCTCACTTTGGTGGCGGTTCAGTGCTTCATCCAACAGACGTTCCACACAATCCAGCCTAGTAACTGGACCTCGAAAATCGAAAATCCTAAGTTTCGGCAGCATTTGGACGAGGCGGACGAGCTCAGCGTCAACTGGCTCTACACCCCGCCACAAGTTCAAACTGATCTCTTCTGAAAAACGTGACACAAGCAGATCTAATATCTATTCAAGTGGAATTTAGGTTGAGCGGACGCTGCTCTGCTCTGACGGCTTCGCCTACCGAGCGAGGCCGGGTACCAGTCCTCGATGGTCCTGAGGCTGAGCAGCAGCCGGCAGGGAGTCCGCGCAGCGCAGAGATCCACGCCCGTGCTGAGCACCAAGCTCCGCACGGTCATCGGGGGGCTGAGAAACGCGTTCACGTCCTCGTAACGACCCACGGCCACTGCAAACCACCGTACAAACCCGTCAGCGGGGTCAGCCCGCAGCCGCAGAGCACCGTGGTGGCATGGGGCTTCCCCGCCCTGAGACCATCGTCGTGCACCCCATCCCATCCGCCCTGCCCGTCACTCCAGGGACAGGACGTGACTGCGCAGCCAGCGCAAGGCCGAGTCGGCCATACCCCTCGGCGCGGCGCTCCGTGCGCGGCGTAGCGCCGGTGTGAGGCAGGGGCGGCATGCGGTACTCACTGAGCGCCACGCTGATGGCCAGCCCGGGGCACGCGGCGCGGAGGCCCTCCCACGCCGCCCTGGGGACACATCCGTTGGGCCCAGCCTGAGACACGCCGAGGCACGGGGCTTGCCGACCGGGAGTTTCCTGGAGTAGGCACAGAAGCTGGAGTTCCTCCAGTGTCCCTGGAGTCAGCCGCTGCAGTGAGTCACGTCTGCTCTCACCCCCTCCCCCCTCCTCTTCTCTCTGGAAGTCGCCACGTGGGGCATTCCAAACTAGATTTATTTAAATAAAAGTGACCCCTCGGGAAAAATTATTTTTTTTCCCCTAAAAATAGTCCATATCAAGAAACGTTCTCCTGATTTTTTGGAGCGCTGTAGCTCAAACGGTTCAGAAGTTATGGGCATTTAAAGTTTTTTTAGGGTTTTTCATTGAAATATCGTAAAAACGTTCCCTGTCGAAGCCAGGACGCTCCAGGAGGCGATCGGGCATGGTCCGGGACGTAAAATGATCACAGGAATCCGATTCCGGCCGCAGAATGGGCGTTCCTTAACTCCTTATACCCCAAAAAGCCAAATTTCGTTTTAAAATCAAGCGTTTTGG